GCCGTGCGCGCCGCGGCCCCGGCACGGAGAGGGACGGGTGTGCAAACACGCAGCGTGCACGGGCAGGCGAGGCGAGGGTGAGCCGCAGAAACGTGCTGGCAGCTCTTTCGGTGCGGAAAGCCCATGTATGTTTTTGTGTGTGCTGCATGCCTCCCTCCTGCTGGGGTGCATGTACGGGGAGCGCGACCACATGTGTCGCGGCGTGCGGTGCGTCCCTGTGCATACGGGGGGGACACGTCCCTTACGTGGAGCAGGGTGTGTTGGTGTGCGGGATTTGTCTCTGCACATATTGGGGTATCTGTGTGCGTGTCTGAGTCCCCTGAGCGTATTGGTGTGCGTGATGGGCGCATCCTGCACACTGGTGAGCGTGTGCATGTGTGATGTGGGTTGTATGGTACGTGCAGGCTGCAAAATCTCTGTTAAGCAGCACCATGGTTGGTGCCCCAGAGCTGCTGCCTGCTCACGCACCTGCCCTGTCCCTGCTCCCTTCTGCTCCCCCGGCTGTGTAGTGCCTTGTCCTATTTAGCTGCTAAGGCAGAGGGCAGATACTGTCCCCTTGTTTTTTGAACGAGAGCTCTCCCCAGGGATTTCAGTCCCAGACCTTGTCTTGGATGTGTTGCCATCAAAGATATAGCCCTTGCCGAGAATACGAAACCTGTCACAACAACTCCACTGGAGAGGCAAAGGGCTACTGTAAAACCCTGCTCAGCCAGGGCAGGACTTGGCGGGTTTTTCGGGATCTGTAGTCCAGCGGCTGATACGGGCAAGGCTTTTAGGAGGGGGCTCCCAGCTGGGGGAGGACCACGAGTCCCCCAAAAGCTGCCCTGATGGGCGCTTGGGAAAGTCTGCAGCGAGCAATAAGGCTGTGAACTCCCTGTGCCTCGCGGGCTCTTCCAGGCACATCTACGGGCCTGGGCCAAGGGGCCTTCAGGCCTCTTCCCGGCCAAGCTCGCGCTGTGTGTTGTGGCTGTGCACAAATCACACCCTTTCATTCAGGGCTGCGTCCAGCCTGCTTCCCCCACCCCCCGGCACAGCTGGCAGAGGGGAAAATAACAATAAATAATACCACTCATAATGATGGCAGTGCCATACAGAGCAGCGAGGGCGGAGGGGCAGATATTTGCAGCTGCGGCTGGGAAGCGTGAATGTCTCTCTCAGCTGCTCCTTGTTAGCGGCTCCGGCTGTTGTTGTGTAGGGGGACCTCAGCATGGACACTGGAGTGAGGACGTGGTCTGGGCGTCATCTGTGCAAACGCGCTCCCCGCCACAAAATGGTTCCCAGGCTGGCATCCTAATCTCCGCCAGAGATACCCCTGGGGTACCGGAGCACATTCCCTGGAGCGGAAGATCTGCTCCAAGCCACCGTTCGACTCCCTTTCCGTGACAGCCCCATGCCCACCTGTGGGGTGCAGAGCAGCGGATCAGAGGCCAGCGCGAGCTCCTTGTCTCAGCCAGGCTTCCTCCCAAGCCCCGGTGTTTTCTGCAGTCCCAGGCCCCAGTCGAGACCCAGCTGCCCCTGATGGCAAGGTGCCTCTGACACCTATCACGATGTAGCGATGGCAAAGCACCTTCAGGAACTGGATATTTCTCCCAAATCCGTGCTTGTTCCCCAGGCCCCTCTTCCCCATGCCAGCTTCATTGCCGCCTGCCTGCCTCTCCTCACTGTTTCCCCCCTTCCCACCCCAGCAGTTTTATAATCCCTTCATGCATGAGTCAGCCAGAAAGAGAAAGCAACTTATTGCGAATGCCAGGGCTGGAGGAGACCTTGAGCCCCCAAGGGCATGAGAGCAGAGAAGTCCTGAACCAGGACCTGACCTGCACAAAATTGGCCTGGAAACTGGGCTGGTTAGAGTGATCGTGCCGTGATTTCTGTGGTTGACTTTTAACCCAAACATTGCAGGGGAGTAACTCAGCAGAAACGAGGAGCTTGAGGGGTTTGGGTGTCTGTAGTCTGTCTGTCTGCTCTGCATCACTGCAAGGGGTCCCCATGCCCTGTGCTGTGCTGAACAAGCCTGGAGGTGGGCTGCAGGGCAAAGACCCCCGTGCACTGAGAGCCTCCGAGGGGTCTGGACACCCCCTGGTGAGCCCCTGGCTCACGGTGCGTTGCCCCAGCTTTCCCAAATAACCAAGGCTGCTCGCAGAGCCAGGCACCAGGGATGCGCACCGCTAGTCTCAAGTGTTATGTCCCAGGGTTCGCTTAAACTTGGCTTTGTCATTTGGGCATTTCAGGGGAGGCAGAAGAAGGGGCAAAAAGCACAAGGGAGTTGTGATCTGGGAATATTGGGAAGAAATTTGGTGGAGAATTTCCAAGATCCGTTTAAATACCTCGTGCCATTGCGGCACACAGAGCCTGTTAGTTAACGGGAGCGTAAGCACCCCAAGCAGCGTCACGTAACGCGCAAGGGTCTGTGTGGGGCTGGCCGGTGCTGAAGCAGGAGTTAAAACCTTCCTGCTTTTGTTTCCCCAAGTAAAGCCGTGGGCAAGGTTAGACCTGGCCTTGCAAAATCTGCTGGGTCTGCAAGAGGGAGGCTGAGGTCTTCCCTGGCTGCAAAGCCATTTTCCAGCCCTTATCCTACTCCACGTGCAAGAGTTTTGCTCTCGACAAAAGCCTCCTTTATCCTCACGCGTTCGAACACAGTCTGCTCTGAGACTCCCTGGCTGATCATTCACCGGGTGCAAACCCGGTTGCACTGGTTTTTCTCTGCGGTTCCCAGTTAGTAAAGCATTAGCAGCGCACTGGGGCCGCTCAGCCCATCCCCTCTCGCAGGGACACGGAGCCCGCAGGGGCGACGCACGGTCGGGCTGGCCGCATCGCGCTGATGCCGTTTGGTGACGGTCCGGTTCCCGTCTGTTGCTTGACCTTTTGGTCACGGGTCTGTCCTGGTCCTGCCCGAATCCCTCTCTTCTCACGCTGGCTCCTGCGAGCGACGCGTGACGCTTGCAAGTCTGTTTTCGTTCACTCAGCTCGTACTACCCGCAGACCTCAGTGGAGACCTCTGCGGTCATCGGCTCTTTAAACCGCC